TCCCGGTGCCAGTCGCGGTGCTGGCTTTGGTCCTGCTGCGGGTCCTAGTCTGAATCCTGGTTTGGGTCCTGGTCCTGGTCCTGGTGCCGGTCCCGGTGCCAGTCGCGGTGCTGGCCTTGGTCCTGCTGCGGGTCCTAGTCTGAATCCTGGTTTGGGTCCTGGTTTGGGTCCTGGTCCTGGTGCCAGTCCCGGTGCCAGAGCCAGTCCCTGTCTTGGTCCTGGTCCTGCCGGTGCCTTGTCCCAGCTCGGGTGGCTCCCGGAGGGTTGTGGTGGATTAACCCTCCAGGGAGGGACAAGTGGGAGCCTTGGCCCTCTGGGGCAGCTGCTCCCGCAGGATGTCGGGGCAGGAGATGGATCCTAAGCTAAGTCTCATCTTCTGTTCCTGTGCCAGAGTGACTCCCGAGGGGGCAGTGGGGCCTGTGACCGCACCGGGCGCCTCTACCTGTACCACTACAACGAGGAGCAGCCGTTCATCCCCCTGACCGAGATCCAGCGCATCGACACTGCTGCCATCCTGGACATCAAATGGTAGGGCTGGCACGGCCGCGCCCGGTGCGCCGCGCGGGGTCCTGCCCTGGAGAGTCTTCTTGGGCATGGCAGCAACAGGAATGGTCACTCACCAAACTGTTCTGGCTTGTCGGGGGGAAATGTTCCCTGGTTTGTTCCAGTGAGCAAAGTGCTCATTTCTGTGTTACTTTCTGCTCGTGAGCAGCTGCTCAATGACTTTATACCTCATTGACTTTATCCCTCATTTATATCTAATAACATACAGTAGAGTTCCCCTGTGTAGAATCTCCTCCACATAGGTTTGTGGGAGCGTGAGGAGCCTTAGATTTTCTTCATGTTAGATATTTTTTGGACAAATCCCTTCTTGTGCGTCCTGGGATAAAAGTTATGACTTTGCTCTCTTCCTGACATAAAAGATGGACATTTGAGACTTGTTTCACTTGATCTTTTAGGTGCCACCTTCCCGTTGCGGAACATCCCATGGTTGGCATTGCAAACTCCACGGGTGCTGTGGAGTTTTGCCACCTGACTGGCAGTGAGGTGGGTGGCTCTAACGCCCGCTGGGGCTGCTTTTAACCCATGTTTGATTCATCTCTATGTTTATTAGCAGAGGCTTGCAGGGAAGCTGGGGTTGGTTTCCATGGCTTCCTCAGCATGGTTAGAGTTTTAAACACTTCTTTTGTCTTCTGATGGTGTTTGTCATAAGCTCTACAAATCTGCTGATGGCAACAGGGAGACAGGCTGGGCTCTACCCACCTGCAGAGTGGGAGATGAGAGGCACGAGGGGAGCATAAGCCAAGCCTGGAAATTGTCATGTGAGGACAAGTATGGACTAACTGGTAAACAGCAGAAGGTGCAAAGTGGTTAAAAGCAGGGAAGAATTTTGGAGAGAGGTTTCTTGTGGTGGTGAGAGAGGTCGGGAGAGCCATTCCCACAGCAAAGCAAGCAGAAGGCAGAGTGAGGGAATTCAGTCAGGTCATCATGTCTGTACTTCATCCACTCCCTGAGAGGCAGCAGAGTTGAAGGGTGATGTGGTGGGGATGGGCAGGGAAGGGTGGGATCCTGTGTATGCATGTTTGCCCCTCAGCTAGTACCAGGTGATTTTATGGTACATTTCATCTCTTTCTATAGTGTGGGACCCTCAGTCCCTGGGAGACACCTGCTGTTAGAGACCTGTTGTCTTCCCAGTCTTAACCCCTTGCTTTTCCTTCCAGTAGAAGAACAGCTGCATGTTGGAGCCATGCTTCAGGGTCGATCTCGGGGCACAGCGACTGGCCTTGTCCCTGGACTGGTCCACGGGGCGGGAGCAGTGGTGAGCATGGGAGCTGGAGGCTGGGGTGAGGCTGGTGTGTGGGATAGCTTCCAGGAGATGTGGAGGACTTTGATGAGTGAGTCTTTAGTGGTTTGGGCTTTTCTGATCCCATCTGTCTCCCTGTCCCTGCTCTAGAAGTTGCTGTTCCCAGAGCAAGGGTAACAAAGGAACTGTGGCCACTGTAACAGGAGCAGAGGCTCAACCAAAACCAAACATGAGGTTGTGCTCTGGGGAATGGCAGCAGGTGAACCAGGGACATGTCTTCTGTTGCCTTTGCTAAAAGGAAAGACCAGAACAGGATGCAGATGGAGCCACTGGTTCCAACTCAGCTCTTGGAGAGGCTGAAATTTTAGTGTGAAGTTCTGCTTGAGAACTGCTAATAATAGTACATGTAGGAAGTTTAATCATGGGTGAGAAACAGGACAGAATTGGCTTGGAAGTAGCTCCTTCCTCTCTCAAACGCTCATAGATGAGACTTCAGAAATGGCATTGCTGGATGAAATACCCTAAATTAGCTGTACCTTGAAAGAGGAGAGGTGTGTTCTGTGAGTGTAGAGAGTGGTGCCTTTGGTGTTAGGCTGGAAGCTGAGGGGATCAGGCAGTTGTGTGCTTAATGCTGTAGGGCAAATATTTAGTAGGTTTGGCTAATTGAAGTTCTTTCTATGCACGTTGTGTAATGAGTAAGTAGAATTCTCAGTTAGACTTTCTTCCTTCTTGCCTCTGTCCTTCACCAGAAATGATCACTGCCTTGATGAAAAGTCCCTTTAAGGCTGTCACTGTTGGCACCTGAAAGAGCAGTAACTTATCCTAGAAGCCAAATGTACATCCTCCATGTCTCTGTATGAAGGGGATGGTCTTATATCTCTTAGGTGGGAATTTGGGAGAGTCAGTGTGGTTCTAGGAGGCAGAACTGGAAAGAAGCCCTGAGCCACCAAAGCAGTACCTGCAGCTGCAGGTAACCAAGCAGAAAGGACCAAGTTCATGTCAGGGAATGTCAGAAACTGTGCACTGGGAATTGCAGAACTTCTGCCACTGCTCCAAGATCATTGTGTCTAGAAACTGTACTGTGCCACAGGAGAGAGCAGGAAAGGTCAGGATCAGCCACTGCTTCAGTATGCTAGGACAGCAGGGAAGTAGAACATTCCTTTGTACTCCAGGAGAGGGAAGAAATTCTGAAAGGTCCTTGTCAGTCTGACTTGGAGGGAAGAAAAAAAAAAAGGTCTGTCTTCATATGGATTTTTTTATTGATGTAATATGAAGCATGTGAGAAGTTCTGCATCTGGGACAGACAGACCCAAGGGTGGTTCTTTCCTTCTCTTGGGTGTGAGTGTTGCACCTCTGTGAGATGAGGGAGTGGCAGTCACTGGGGCAGATGGTTTTAGGGTGGGATGGGCTGAAGCTGAAAAGAACTATATGAATATGTGCATTCCTGACAGTTTCTGTCAGCGCTTGGTTGAATCGAACATGTTTGATTGTTTCAGTAACTCCTGATTTCTCTGTATCCCACTGCAGTGGATGTCCCCTGAGAGTGATCAGCAGTGATTCAGAGGGGAAGCTGAATCTTTTCTCCATAGATGAATCTGCTCCTTCTGTGCATGTCCTGAATCAGTGGGAAGCTCACAAATTTGAGGCCTGGATTGCTGCTTTTAATTACTGGGACACTGATATTGTGTATTCAGGTCTGTGTGGGCTGGGACTCTCCTTGGGGTTGTTGGGGAGGGGGAACTTTGCTTAGAGATGTGTGTTCCTTGGGATTTTGCTTTGCAGAGTTGAGTGTGCTGCTTGCATCACACCTCTTCAAAGAGTTGGGCCCTCTGCTAGGGGGAAAAGGCTTCTTGATGGTGGGGAGTGGTTGGAGTTAATTAGAAGCTGTACCCTATAAACTGTGCTTTGGGTGGCTGTTGGCAAAAGAGATGATACTCTCTTGCAGAGTGCAAAGAGCCAGAGAGTGGGTGGCTGTTGGCAAAAGAGATGATATTCTCTTGCAGTGTGCAAAGAGCCAGAGACTTTTTAGAGTCCAGTCTTTTTGGCTTCTAATTAGTCTTCTTACCCAAGTGAGAGCACGAATACAAGTCTTTCCTGGGGTGATGAGTCCTGTGAGCCTCAGGTGATGTTTGGGGAGTGCAAGTTCTCAGGGCTGGAAAGCAGCAACTCCTCTGTATCAGAGGACACCCTGATTCTCTTGCAGTGTGCAAAGAGCCAGAGACTTTTTAGAGTCCAGTCTTTTTGGCTTCTAATTAGTCTTCTTACCCAAGTGAGAGCACGAATACAAGTCTTTCCTGGGGTGATGAGTCCTGTGAGCCTCAGGTGATGTTTGGGGAGTGCAAGTTCTCAGGGCTGGAAAGCAGCAACTCCTCTGTATCAGAGGACACCCTGAGCTGAAGGGACCCAGGAGGATCATCAGTCCAACTCAGGACACCACTGCACCCT